GCCTGCTCAAGGGCACTCCGCTTGCACACGCTCTGTAAGCGTGCCCGCCCCAGAGAGTTGGCGTCCGTCCACCCGCTGCCCCCTCAGGCCAGCTCTCAGGCCCTGAGCCTGCGTCCTGAGCCCCAGCCTCAGTGCCCGGAAGGGGATCTCCTATCCTCTCAGGCAGACAGGGACGCTCGGCTTTCCCCTCAGGCCCGGGAGATGTGTCCTATAAAATGTGTTAAGGTCCTTGTCGGAGGCCGTAGGAGGAAGCCCGCTCCCGGGCCGGTTGGCGCTGGGGAAAAAGCCAGCGTTCCCCTTACGAAACCACTACACTCCTTCCCCTTGGCTGTATTTTTAAAACGGGCACAGCCCTCTCTTCCCCGCTGGGCCTTCACAGGGAGGATCAGCGGGCAGGGGTCCCGGGATGAGCTCGCGAAGGGGGTCTCCGAGGCTGTCCCCACCCAGACGGGCGCACGCCCAGGCCAGTGTCCTCGCTGCCCAGACCCGGCTGAAGTCTGTGAAGTGAGGTCTGACTTCCTACCTCCTGGAAATCAGAAGTAACCCCACCCCCGCAAACACACACACACACCCATTTCTTTCTTTCCTAGATCAGCTTTTCATACACGGAGGCCCCTCCCGCCCACGACACGGGGCTGTCTGTGGCTCTGCTGGACCCCGAACACGTTTTCCGCCAAAAGCCACGGCGAGCGTGGGGTCAGACCCCAGGCCAGGTCCCCGACACCCGCACCCCCGTCAGCCGGCTGACCTTACAAACACTGCCGATGGGAACAGCCGGAGAGACAGCTGTTTTGAGGGCAGGTCGCACCCGCGCGCAGTCCAGCACCGTAGGGAATCAGGGAGTTGGAAGCGGGCCTTTTCCTCTCATGGCAAAGAGGGGGTCCTGGGACAGGCAGGGTCCGTGGGAGAGGAGGCGCTGATGGCCGAGGGGACCGAGGGGCCCGGGGACTGTCCCGCCTGTGATTTGCTTATCAGATCACATTTCCCGGCAAGGCTGCTCTGTGCTGGGCAGCCACACGCGCATCACCAGCGGGGCCCTACTGGTGTCGGGGTGATGGAAACCTGGGGTCTGTCTCCCAGGAGCTTTGCCTGTGCCGAGCCTACTGCCCCGGGGGTGTCGTGTGTGTGTGTGTCCCGCCCTGAGTCTCTCCTGAAAACACTCAGGTTGCCGAAACCGGTTTGTCTCAGTGGGTAGAGCGTCGCCTGCGGACTGAAAGGTCCCAGGTTCCATTCCGGTCAGGGGCATGTGCCCTGGTTGCGGACACATCCCCAATGGGGAATGTGCAGGAGGCAGCTGATGGATGTTTCTCTCCCATCAGTGTTTCTAGTTTTCTAACCCTCTCTCTTACTCTCTGTAAAAAACTCAATAAAATATAGATTTTTTTAAAAAAAAAGAAAAGAAAAGAAAACGCTCAGGTGCCCTGGTGAGGCGGGCGGGGCTGCTCTTTCTCCGCTCGCCTCCCCTCCTCCCTCCTCGGACCCCTGCCGTGCCCTCATCGTGGGTGATCATTGCACCGAGGATCTGTGCGTGCCATGGTTTGGTGAGTGATGCGCTGCTGTGAGGACGGTGTGTGCGTGCCCGTACGGAGACAGACACCCATCGGAGACAACCAAAGGGCCCCTCTGCCCGGAGAGACCTCCCCTCTCGTGAATGGCAGGAACCAAGGTCCCAGCACGCCCCCAGCTGGTCCCCCAGTCCGTAAGAGGTGGAGGCAGGATTCGAACCCGGGAGCCCGGCGGGCCCCTCCCTGCCAGGCTGGGGGGCAGAGGGCGCGGAGGGAGGGTTGCAGAGGCCGGCTGTCCTCTGTGGTGACCAGCTTACGCTCACACGGCCCCACTCAGAGTGCAGAGGTCACGTGTGTGACAGACGCCCAGCGGGCAGACCCCGGGCGTGCTGGCAGAGGTGCTGACGGAGCAGTGACCGAGGGCGGGCCCTGGCACCCCCGCGCCTGGGGCTGGTATTGTGTTTCCAGCTGATTGTGTGCCTGGGAGGGGTGCCGGGGGAAAGGGCCCATCTGTGAGTCAGGAAGGAGAGTTAAACTGACCGGACTCCCCCACGGAGCTGGTTCCCCTGGGCGCTCTGTTTTGGGGTCCGTTTGTCATTACATATCTGTTTCTCTGCGGGCTAAAAGCCCCACGTGGCACACAGCCTGAGGACACAGTCCCTGCCCTGACATCCCTGGATGAAAAGCCACTGCCTGGCAGGGGCCCGGCCCACAGCACGCGCTTCCGCGGTCCGGCCTGGCGGTCGAAGCAACCGTCTGTCTGTGACGTGCCCAGCGCAGGGCTGAGCGTCCAGGGGCGGCCGGGCCCTCGGAAGGTGGTCCTTCCCCCTAAGGACAATCGGGGCGGGGGGGGGCAATCCCCACCTGCTTTTGAAGCTCAGAGTCTCCAAGCTTTGTCCCCACACCCCTCGCCCTCCTCTGGCCGCAGCCTCAGCCGCCTGGAAGGGGCCCAGAGGGACTGTGCCTCTGCACAGCCGTGTGACAGCGGGAGTGAGCCGCTGGGGCCTCACAGTGTCCGCCTGTGGCTCTGGTGACCGGCGTGAAATCAGCCCCGCCTTCCCCTCTCACCGCCCCCGCCCCGGCGTTCCCAGCTGGGAGGAAGTGGTTTGGACCCAGTGTACTCACTGCCTTGGGACATTTAGGGAGGAGCTAGAGGGAGGAAGACAGTCACACAATATGGCCTGAGTGCATATTTCTTAGCAGAAGGGATGGACGGGCGATGGACGGGTGATGGACGGGTGATGGAAAGGCTATGGAAGGGCGATGGACGGGCGATGGACGGGTGATGGAAGGGCTATGGAAGGGCGATGGATGGGTGACGGACGTGTGACGGACGGGTGATGGATGGGTAATGGACGGGTGATGGACGGGTGATGGCCAGGTGATGGAAGGGGGATGGAAGGGTGATGGACGGGTGATGGATGGGTGACGGACGGATGATGGATGGGTGATGGATGGATGGATAAAAGCACTAACAGGGCCCTCAGGTTGCTGACAAGAACCCCACGGTCTGGCCTGACACGCTGGAAATTCCTAAGAGAATGTTAAGCGCCAGCTCCTCTCGCCGCCAGCGGACGTAAATTCTTGCTGCGTGTCAAGCGAGAAATTAAAACCCCGCAGCATTGATGAATGCAGGACGCTGGCTGGGGTTCCCTGGAATGAATAATTTTTAAGTCTCTGAGAAGCACACCCTCTGTCCCCCTGGGAATAATGCCGCCAGCTCTCAGCACGCCGAGGGGGGGACGCCATCTGTGAGGAAGCTGGTGTGTTTGCTGCCGTGCCCGCCTCCCCACGCCCGCCCCACTGCCCGCGTCCCGCGGAGAAACACGCAGGAGCGGGCACCAAGAGACACGGAGAAGGCGTGTACTTATGTCACAGCTCTCAACCCCCGCCGCCCAGAGCCGCCCGCGCCCCTGGGTGTCCTTCAGGGGCCAGGGTGCAGGACACTGTGAGCAGCCGCCCTGCCACCCTTTGGCACTCAGCACCTCCTGCCTACTGCGTGCGACTTCACCTGGCCACAGACGCACAAGGAGGCCCGCCTTCTTTTTAAGAAAAGGAAACAGACACTCAGAGAGGCAGAGTGACTTGCCCAGAGTCACACAGCGCACTGGTGGCTGAGCCGGAATGTTGGCTGGGGGAGAGGGGACGGGGGCGGGGTGGGAGGTCACTGCCTTAGAGGCTTTCCAGGAAGCAGTCTCGCTGCCCCAGTGCTGGATCGGTTTAGGACGCGGGAGCCTACACCGATGCCGGCCTGTCCGCTCCACGGGGTTTTAGGGTTACCCGCAGCCTGCCTTTCAGAACGCACGGAGCATGCTCCTCGCTGGAGAAGGCCGGTTGGCAGAGGTTCTGCCAGAACGTTGGCCTGGGCTCACCTTTCCAAAGGGGACAGGACCGCGGCCCCGGAGAGAGGCCGCAGCCGGCACCGCACGGCGAACCACAGAACGACCCTCGTTTTGGCAGCACGCGGGGTGGGACTCTCCCGAAACGAAGCGCGCTGCTCCAGAGGCACACTCTCCGCTCCCCGCCCTGGCTCCTCCTGGGCTCTGCCACCCCAGAGCCCCTCTCCGCTGTGTGACGTGGATGAACCACCGAACCGCTCTGGGCCTCGTTTGCTTATTTGTCAAAAGCAAAGGATGATCGTAATCTCGGAGAATCACGCGGAGGATGGCGGGGCAACAGCCTTTCCTGCAAGGCACCTCCCGCCTCTGGGCACGGGGACGCCGCCCCCTCCCACTCCCACCCGCGACCCCCATTCGGGACATTCGCGCCCAACGCCAAGGTCACTTCCCTGCCCACGGGGACTTCTGGACACCCAGGCACCCCGAAACGTGTGGAGTGTGCCCCCTCCCCTCAGGGATGCTAATTCTCCCCAAGCCTCCTCTCACCTCACCCCCACCCCACACACTCACCACCGGCTGATTCTCATGGCTCTTCCTTACCAGGCCAAGCCGGCATTTCCCAAGGACCAGCCTCACAGCCCCGCTCCCCGCAGCTCAGCCTCCCGGGGCTCCCTGCGCCCCAGAGGGCACTGCTCTGCACTGGCCTCGGCCCCCGGGCCCCTCCTGGGTGTGTGCGCCACCCGGCACTTTGCATATGCCAGCCCGTGCCCCCTTCCCAGCGCCCGGGGCCATGGGCCCAGGATCTCCACTTTCAGAGAAAATAAAGGCCTGGCACAACTGCAGTGACTCACCCGGGGTCACGCCGCTGGGAGGCAGAGAGAGCAAGCCCGGTGCCCGCGGGGGAGTCTGCCGGCTGCCCAGGAGGGCACTCTCCCCGGGAGGACTGTGCCCGGCCCTTCTCGGCCCTTCTCGCCTGTAACTGTGCCCAGACCTTCCTCCCCGAGAGCCTGGATGTTCCGGGCGCCCTGCTGGACGTGGGGCCACCCCGGAGACACCGCCTGCCTGTTCTCACAGAGACTCCGCTCCCAGACGTCACCCCCCTGCCAGCTGCCCCCCCTCCCCGACCCCCGCCTCGTCCCCCAAGCCCCCAAGATACCTTCAGAGGCTGGCCATGGTCTCCCCGGGAGCAGCTGGCGAGGGTCCCGGCACGGCCTCTCCGTCAGCAGAGTGAGCGGGGGACCCGGCCTCCCCGGGGTGTCCACGAGCCCATGCTATCGAGAGGAGCAGCAGTTGCTACACCCGCCACACACTTCCTCTGCGAGGAGCGGGCGGCGCGGGCCGCGGGGGCAGGTTCCTGTTTTCAGAGCGCCGGGCAGCCTCCTCTCCGCGGACGGCCAGGGGGCGGCCTTCTGCACGCGTGTGCACGGCCTTCTGCTCGCGTGTGCACGGCCTTCTGCTCGCGTGTGCACGGCACGCGGGGACACGGGCAACTCCGCACCGCGGCCAGGCCCCGCCCAGGCTCTGGGGCGCATGCTGTCTCTCATTCAAAGGCGGACGGAGGGGGCTCAGGGGCTGGGCTCAGGGCCCTGGAGCTGGCGGGCCCACGGAGCAGCAGCTTCTCTTTTCTCAGTTTCCCAATGTCCGCCGCTTCCTCACGCCGCTGCCACGCCAGCCCCAGCGCAGAGCTCAGGGAGGGCAGGGCACATGGGCAGAGGCTGGAAACAGTGACCCCAGAGGCCCTCTGCAGAGACACTGGGACGGCAGGAAGCTCGGGTGCAGGTGGACGCTGACCATGTCGCCTGTGTGATGCTTTACCAGACCTTGGGTCAAGGGAAGAGCACTAGAGAGACAGAAGGACTGGATGGGGACGATGGGTGGCACTTGAATTTATAAGCTGCACATTTGATAATGCCATGTCCGTGCGGATTTTCTGGGGCTGATGGGCCGCCGTGGCGATGGGGCTGATGGGTCACCCTGGTGATGGTGCTGATGGGTCGCCGTGGCGATGGGGCTGATGGGTCACCCTGGTGATGGTGCTAATGGGTCGCCATGGTGATGGGGGGCTGATGGGTCACCCTGGTGATGGTGCTAATGGGTCGCCATGGCGATGGGGCTGATGGGCCGCCGTGGTGAGGGGGCTGATGGGTCACCCTGGTGATGGTGCTAATGGGTCGCCGTGGTGATGGGAGCTGATGGGTCACCGTGGTGATGGGGCTGATGGGTCACCGTGGCGATGGGGCTGATGGGTCACCGTGGCAATGGGGCTGATGGGCCGCCATGGCGATGGGGTGAGAGTGTTGGCTCTTAGCAGAGAGGCTCCTGCTGAGGTTCCTGGAGGCGAGGATGTCTATAATTTTCACTCACAGAGAAAGGGAGAGAAAACATAAATAAAGAGGAAAAGAGAAAGACAGTAAACGTGGCAAAATGTGACTGTGAGAGGAAACAGGTGGAGAGCGTGTGTGCATTGTAACATGTTCATTTTTCGATGGGTTTACATTTTTTTTAAAATGACAATATCTAGCCCTGGGCAGCGCGGCTGGATCCCCAGTGAGGGGCATGCAGGAGGCCACCGACTGCTGTTTCTCTCTCACATCAACATTGCTCCCTTCCTTTCCCAGCCTTTCTCTCTAAAATCAATAAAAACGTAGTCCAAAAATACCAGTATATGGCTCCCCACTCAAACCGTGCGAGTCTCAGGCAGGAAAGCCCAGGCACCTGGGGCCTAAGGGATTGTGGGTGGCAGAGCTAGGACCGCTGGGTGACTTGCCCGGAGTCCCACAGCTGGGCCTGGCACGGAACCTGCCGGTGTCTCTGGCCGGTGACCCGCAGCCCCAGCCCCACGGGGCCGGCTCGGCCGCCAGGGGAGAGCCATTTAGAAACCCCACGTGGCATAGCGATCGGAGGCGAATTGAAAACATCGGGGCCGCGTCTAAACTTAGCCGGCGCCCTGTCCTAGAGAGATGCCTCCTCAGACACCTTGTGCAACGCCGTGCGCGGGGCACCCTGGGAGGGCGCAGAGGAAACGGTGCAGAAGGCGGGCGGAGCAGGCCTCTTGCCTAGAAGGGGAAGCGGCCCGGCAGAGAGAGGCGTCTGTCGGGATTTTTCCCCTCAAAATTCTCACAGGGGCAGGAAGGAGGAGCGAGCTGATTGTCAGAAGGCACGAGCTTTGGGGCAAGTTGAAAACAAACAAACAAAAAACACATTTTCCCAGAATCTGCTGAGTTAGAAGAAATTCATTCCTTAATTTAATCATTTGTTTAATGTAACTTCATTTGTCCAATGGATCCAGCTGTGCACAGACCACCAGCAAGAGCCCCGCCCGAGTGGAGCCCCCGTTTTGGGTGGGGAGCCTTTCCCGGGCTTTTCTAAAGATGGGAATGCGGCCGCTACCGGCGATGGCGACGGCGGGAAGGAGAGGAAACGGTTAGTAAGACAGAGGGGCCCTCCCGCAGGGGTGGTGCGGTGGTTAAGCGCTGACCTATGAACCAGGAGGTCACAGTTCCATGCCTGCTCAGGGCACAGGCCCTGGGAGTCTTCCGGCCCCTCAGGAGCAGGATGTGCACGTCGGAGTCTGGAACAGGAGTGGGGTCCGAGGCATTTGGGAGCCGTGTGATCTTCACGGCGTTCTGCCTCTCTCTGTGAGTCTGCGAGGTGCTGCTCTCCCCATCTCCTTCCTGGGTCTGGAGGCTCCACAGGAACTTGTGTCTGACCAGCTAGCGTGGTGCAAGGCACAGAGCGGGGGTCCTGGGTACGGACTCCACCCCTTTTCCTTTCCAAGAGGAGCATACACTTGGGAGGACAGGGACACATCTCTCTCACGCCTGACCCTGAGCCTAGCACCACGCCTTGCGCCGAAGAGGTGATCCAGAAGTAGCCGTCGAACTAGCGGATGACTGAGTGAGTGAAGGAATGCAGGGGAGGGGTGTGCCTTCTAAACGAGAGCCCACTTCGTGGTGATGGCCTTTTCCCTGGGGAAGATGGGGCTCACCCTGAACCCCCCGGGGGCCTTCAGACCCACGGCTTCTCCAGACACGTCCGTTATTCGGGAGCCACGTCCAAAGCTGGGTGAGGGGGTCCGTGTGGCTGAGCCAAGGACTCCAGACATGTTTACGTCTCCGGGCCTTTGTGGGTGTCTCTGGGAGGCCTCTCAGCGCCGAGTGCCTCCTCTCGGGAGGAGAAGTAGGAGCTTCCTTCCACCATCCATCGCGGCCGTGGAGTTGCACAAACTTGTTGATACACCCGAGCTGTCCTCTTGCTCAACCCGCCCGCTGCCTCCACCGGGGAGGCCCCCCGGAGCTCAGCTTCCTGAGGGGGCCGGGGGCCAGAGGGCCTCCCGGGGCTGGGGAAGGTCGCCGTTGCAGCTTTGCAATGTGGCAACGTTGGCTTCCTGGCTTCCTCTTGATGCACGCGTGCACAAGCCCCTTTGTTCCCCACCTCTGACTCGGCGTTCTTTTATGTAAATGAACCTTGTTTTCGGGAAAGAGAGCCTCAGGCCAGCGGGAGGCCGAGCCCTGGGAGGACAAGGGCGCCTGGGAGACGTGTGCTGCCTTCAGGGCTCCGTGGACAGGGCCAGGGGTCACCCACCCACGTGTCAGGGCAGCGCCGTGAGGGGTCCAGTGAGGAGGGAGTGGAGGGAGACGGCTCTCAATGCTGCAGTGGCCCCGCAAGGCAAGGGAGGAATGTTGTCCAGCTCAACCTTGAACTCGCGCGGAGGCCAAGCTCAGGCTAGATGTTGGGCAGCGCTGGCCAGGACGTTCCCTTTGTGCCTTCTCGTTGCTGTTTTTGTGGGATTCCTTTTGTTTGTTTTTCCGGAGTGACTTCTGTTGTGTCTTGCATGGAGTTGGAAGTGATCCACCACCATGTCTTTTTTTTTTTTAATTTCTTTATTGATTAAGGTATCACATATTTGTTCTCAACCCCCCATTCCAATTCCCCACCCCCACCACCATCACTTATCCTGCCCCTTGTCACCCCCTTGCTCCTCTGGAACGCACTGAGATAGGCCGATGACTGACCCTCCTCAGGCCAGTCCGGGCGGGTCCTGGCTGCCACGCTGTCCTTGGCGTTGGCACAAGTTCCTCCGTAGCTCCTTGCTGCCCAGCCCTGCCTCCCCAGTGGCCTCCCCAGTGGCCTTCCACTTGCCCCTAGTGCCTGGGCAGGCGCTGCTGCGTTTACCACTGGGTTCTCCTCTGCTCTGATTCTGAGACCCAGGCCCTCGCCCACCATATCCCCGGCCAGCCGCACCACACCACCGTGGGTATCACATTGTGCCACGAAAGGTGCCCTCAGGAAAGTGAAAAGACAACCCACGGCCTGGGACCGCCTGCCCACAGATCACACGTCTGAGTGGGGACGTCCAAGATCCTGCCCCTATGTGGACACAAGATGGCCACCACAAGATGGCCGGCAGAGGAGGGCAGTTGGAGGTGATCAACTTTGAAGGGGAGGGCAGTTAGGGGTGACCAGGTCGACAGAGGAGGGAAGTTGGGGGCAAACAGGCTGGCAGGGGAGTGGTTAGGGGGTGATCAGGCCGGCAGGCAGAAGCGGTTAGGGGCAATCAGGAAGGCAGGCAGGCGAGCAGTTGGGAGCCAAAACGGGAAGCCGCTGCCACCCGGCAGCTGAGAGGGAGATCCAATGGCATGTGTGGGAGCTGTGGGACCGTGTTTAATTATGAAGGGCGCGGAGTGCTGACGTGCGCTCCCCCTGGGCGCAGTGAGGGAGCCAGGCACGGGAGGCCTCCGGCTGACGGCCCCATTCAGCTGGAATTTCGGCACCGGCAGCGCTGCGGGGACAGGAATCAGATTAGCGATGGCCTGGGGCCCGGAGTGACTGCTGACGGGCACGCGGCGGCTCTGTGGACGGTGGAAATGATCTGAAATAAGATCGTGGCGATGGTGACAGGGCCCTGTGCGTACAACCAGAAGCCACAGGCGGGTGTGCTTTCCATGGTGAGCTGTACGGTACGTGAGGTACATCTCCAGGGGACCCTTTTCACACAGGCCGAGAGGCACCGCTTACAATACCCCCACGGAATACAGAAGCACGTTCCCGCAGTGAAGATCGTCATCTGTACATCTTCCATGGAAACCGTTCACATGTTTTGGGAGGAGATCACTCGGGCGTTTCTGTGTCTCAGGAGAAGAGAACACCATGTGGCCCAGTAGCCCTGTGGTCCACGAGGAAGTGACCGGGACACGTGGACAGATCTGCCGTGAAGGTGTGCGCCGCGGTGCGGCCTAGAGCATCCCAACGCAAGGAACAAGGCCACCACTGCTGAGCCCGTGCGCCTGGCACGCACCACGGGGGGACGCGAGAGTCCTCTCCCTGCGGCCCGGCCATGGCCCTCTGCGGGCGCTGCCAGAACCGTCACGCTCCTGGCGGTGGAGGAAGAGCCCAAACCA